ATATATATATATATATATATATATATATATATATATATATATATATATATATATCCTCTCAGCAGCAACAACCAGCTGTACGGACAGCAGACGGAAAGAGAGGGCCTGTAGGGTTGTTTGCTTGCTTTTGTTTTGTTCGTAGCATCTGCTGCTGCAGTAGTAGCAGCAGCTGCTGCTGCATCTGCTGCTGCAGCAGTAGCAGCAGCTCCGTGTGGTTTGTGTTGACGCAAATGTCTGTCACAACTGCACACAACATCTGGCGAAAACAAACAGAGAGTCTCTGCTGCTGAGGTGTACATACACCTCAAAATGGGAGCACCGGAAGAACGCAATCGAAGTTTAATTCATTTTAATCATTTTAATCTCTTTTTGCATGCAAATAGACAAATAAAATTCAGTTTAAAAAACTGCTGTACAAAATATAACATCCTAAATAAACTGAGGTAAATATCGAAATAGAAAGAAATATAAAGAAATATAAATATAAAAAAATTAAAGTATCATTTAAATGATTTAAATGGAGTTGTCTCCCCGCCTATCTTTTTAATAATTTTCTCTTTAGTAAAGACTAAAACAAATGCAGCAAATAAAGACGTACATAGCAGCAGCAGACGACAGCACAGATTCAAATAGAAGCACCGACAAAAAATAATTAAAGCGGAGAAGTGAAATGAAAAAACTGAACAAAGACTAACAACAAATATAAAATAAAGCAAAGAAGAACCTCAATAACAACAAAAACAAACAAAAACAACAAATAAACAATTTAATGGAGTTGTGCAGTAAGGATATAAACAAAAACAAAAATATAAACCCTAAACCTAAACAGACACGAGAAAAAAATACAAGTATAGAGACAATAAAAAAAGATTAAACTAAAAACGATAAGTAAAGATTAAATTAAAAACATAAGTAAAGACGTAAACGAAAGTAATAAAAGTCGTCTTATAATAATCGTTTGTAAGCCAGCAAAAGAAAGAAAGAAGATGAAGATTAAACCGAGAGTAACACCACCGTGCAGCGGCAGCACACAGCTGCTTAATTGGGGGTACATTCATTCAAAATTTTCCGACTAAACGCAAATAATAACAATAAATTAATTTCATTTTTATTTAAATCAATAATTTTAATGAAAATCTGCAGTTTTAACCCCCAAAACAACTCTCTAATGCCCCGTCATCATGCCGTTTCGAGTGAGTGACCTTCATACACTGGGTCTCGGCGTTGTGTTCGCCTACCGGAAAACAGAGAGAGCTTCAGACACCGTTTATTTACAGTGAAATATTTAATTAAATAGATTAAATTAACAAATAAATAAATAAATAATAATTAAAAATAAAAATATTTCCCCGTATTCTTCTTCTGCAGCAGCTGCTGCTAATGAGATTTCTGCTCTGCCTCGGGGCCGGTAGCGGGTTTCTATTGTTGCGTCAATTGAAATAAAATTTAAAAATATTTATTCTCCTTTTTTGTTTATTTTTATTTTTATTTTCTTTTTTTGTGTATTATTTCAAATAAAATGGATTTCTTTGAGACGAGTTATCATCACTTTCACGGCCCGAGCAGCAGCATGCTCGCCTCCCGCACAAAAGAATATCATGCAGAGTTTTTTACTCCTTCTTCTTTAAAAAGCCCCCTTTGGGGTTTCTCTGATCATCCACCTCCCGGCGTTCCCGGCCCCAAATACCTGCGTGAAGACAAAACAGCAGCAGCTGCTGCTACAGCAGGGGCAGCAGCAGCAGGGGCAGCAGCAACCGGGGAAGCCGTAACCGGGGCAGCAGCAACAGAAGCTGCAGCAACACCAGGATCAGCAGCAGGATCTGCTGCTGAGCACGTCCCCCTCACAACATACGGAGAGGCGTTTCAGGTTCGCCAGAGGGTCTTTCCTGTTCTTTCTTATAGCATCCAAGGAGATGAAAATAAAACTCACAAGCTGCAAACAACAACACAAACAAATGGAGAAGAAATAACAGAGCCGCGCATCACCCGTCTTTCTCCTTTCTATAAACCAGATCCTAACAGTAGCTTGGGAGTACCGGCGCTGTACGCAGCAGCAGCAGCAGCAGCAGCATCGACGACAACCCCCGCAACAGCAGCAGCAACAGCAGCAGCAGCAGCTTCTGTCGGGGTTCGGTCGGGTATCTGTACAGCGGAGCTCAGCAATCCTCTGTTTGATGCAACCTTATACCATGACCGGAGATACACCCCATTAACAGCAACTACGCGCCAACAAGGAGGCAGCGAGATCGACGCTGCAGCGGCAACAGCACCGAAGCAAAGCAGCAGCAGCAGCAGCAGCAGCGCAGCAAGTGCTACAACGCGACCTGCTGGCATTCTCTCTCTCGCCGAGAGCCTGAGGGTCTTCCCCCCTAAACGCGCTGCCTACCAACGCCTGGTGCACTCTTCTCAGCCGCAGATCATCTGAATCTTTTTCTTGCTGTTTGCTGCTGCTCGTCTGCTGCTGCTGCTCTTTTGCTGCTCCTCGTATTGTGGTCGATTCGAAACAGCAGGCATAATACCCTTGTACACTTACCTGCAGCAGCAGCTGCAGCAGCTGCAGTAGTAGTAGCAGTAGCAGCAACAGCGATAAGCGGAACAGCGGCAGCAGCAGCAGGGCGTACAGAGAATCAAAAAACATCAGCATAGCAATGGCAGCAACAGCAGCAACAACAACAACAACAGCAGCAGACCGTTAAAAGAAGCAGCAGCAGCAACAGTGCACTGGCAGCAGCTGCAGCACCAGCAGCAGCATCAACCGCAGCAAAAGCCTCGTGCTGCTCCGTCGAAAGCAGGATGAGAAGCTACGAGAAGGTGTTGTACATTATACTGAAAAAACCTACTTAGGCGAAACTTTGTCTTCAACTGCATGCATGCAGTTACTTTTCTTTTTTATGTATTTGTCTGTTTTTGTTGCTGCACTGAGAAACGAAGTATAATATAATGAACAAAAGCAACGAAGACGGATACTAAGAAAAGCAGCAAGCACTCTGCAAACCGATGCAGAAAGAAACATAAAAACCCAAGAGAAGTAAGGATATTAAATAGTAAGTATAGGGAGTGTATATAGATAGATACGCAATAAATACAACACAAACAAACAAACGAAAAAACAATAAACAAAAGGAAAGGCAGCCTAAAAACATAAAACACTGACAACAAGGGGACGAACAAATAAACAATTAAACATAAAACCAAAACATATAAACACACAACAAGCAAAATGTAAAGAAGAAACAAAGAAGAAAAAGGAAAACGAAGTAAAAGAGATGCAAACAAAAACAAAGACAATGAAAACAACTGAGCAACTAAACATAATAACACTTAAAGCAAATTTTAAAAGTACCGCCATAAAAACGATAAAACAAATATGAAAAAACAGTTAAACAGAAAACATTAATGAAAATAACTTAAAAACAAACTGCAAAAGGAGGAGAAAGGCGAATAAAACGAAGACAGATTAATGCAAGCAGCGCTCGCAGCCGATCTCCAAACCCAAACAAAAAAAACCGTTTGGCCCAATCGGCACAAACGAGATGACAGCCGCAACTGCAGATCCGCCTTGCGTTATTTTTATGTTTGTTTATGTTTGTACATATCTAACGCACTTGTTTTATTTGTGTTTGTATGTATCTAAAGCACTTAATTTATTTATGCTTGTACGTATTTCAAACAGTTGGTTTATTTAATTTTATGCGTATGTCAAGTACTTGATTTATTTATGTTTGTACGTATCTCAAGCACTTGGTAGTGCTGCTTAGCAGAGGCTACGTGTAATTAAGGGTTTATTAATATCGAACGCGACGCCGAAGAAGCCTAGCGATGTACGCGTTGGTGCTGTGTCTGTATATATATGATATACATACACATATGTATATACATATATATACATATATCTTTTATAGTTTTAACATATATATATATATATATATATAACTTTTATACTTTTATCATTTGTACAAGGACAATGCTTAGGTTGGAGCATTCCACGGCTATGTAATCCTAAAAATGTCATAGACGACTCAGTGAGAAGGTTAGACCCCAGCCCCCAGTTGAATGAAGGAAGGAAGAGGCCTAACGAAGAGGTTTCGAGACAAATCTCTTTGTTAAGTCTTGTTTTTTTTGCTTGTTGCAATGAATTGTCTGCAGTGTGTGGTGATGGTCTCAGACAGAGCGCAATTCGGGGGTATTCGATAGAGTTAATATCGTGGAGTAGCAGAAATAGATGTAGTTGATGAAAGAATATTCAAATTAATTAAACAACAAGGAGCTTGTATCTGGCTTTCTACCCTCTGAACGACGCCCAAAGTATATATCAACAAACTTACACCCTCTTCAGTCTTAGGCTTCTGTGATGAGGTATAAACAACGAACATCTGCAGAGGTTTTGCACTCCTCAGACGATTTTTTAATTGGGTTTATCGTCAATTAAAGTTTTTAATAACACTGGCTGTGCAGTGTATAGACTCAGCAACTATACCCACTTCATTCCCTGTACGAGTTCATTTGCAGCAGATAACGAAGCCCAATAATTATTCGTAAATTGTCTGTGCATATCTCTGATCTCGACGAGCGGCATTTACACTTACAAGGATCTGCAGCTTGTTTGCGGTGTCTCGTATTAATTCACTAAGCATTTTAATATAATATAATTTTAATATAATCTTCATCACCACCTCCAACGCTGAGTACCCGACGAAGACAGTCAAATTGAATTCCTCAACAGCACGCTGGTGCAGCATGAAAAGGCTTCATTTTCAGCTTAATCTTCTACCTTATGCATAACGCGTTTTATATTATATTAGTATTATATTCTCTAGCTTTTCTAAAACTTAAAGAAGCAACATCACCTTTGTCTTATCTGTGATCGGGCCGGGTTGTTGGGGCTGAGCTCCGTGCGTCAGCCGCTGCAGCCTTTCAAACACACAGCACAAAGACGTTTTAAAATAAATAAGAATGTACAGAAGATATGCAAGAGAAGAAATAATAATAAAAATCGCTTGGCATTGTCTTACCTTACTATCTGATGCCTTTGTTGCAATGGGTTCAGACGCTCGAAGACAGACAAACAGCAAAAGAAGCTGGGTATATTGTATCTCTAATCAATCAACGCATTGGCTTACATCATTAACCCCACAACTCCCCCAACAGGAAGACTTCACCTTCACATTAATATCGGCTTCTTAAAACAATTCAACAAACCCTTGAAGTTTTCCTCGAAGACCTTTCACAGAGCAGCAGCAGCAGCAACAACTTCTTTGTTATTAGGATTAAATGGAGTAAAAAGGAGTTAAAAATGTTTAAAGAGTAGAAAAGGTCATAGGAAACAAAGATATTAGACTACAGGAGCAGCTAACCGATAATAGCAGTCAGTATACAGTTAACAGTTATGAAGGCTTGCATTGCTTAGCTTTCTGCGAAGGCTTGCGCTCTCACCTTGACTATGCAGAGGAGTTTAAAGGAGCAGACATCGATGGCTGATATTAAAGAAGGTTTAAACTCGGCTCTATCTCTTCTTCTAACATTCTCCCAGTACCTGTACATAGCAGTTTATATCTTAATGCTTACTGAGATATGAAGAGCGTTGCTATTCTTTTGTTATCTAGGGTTTAGGGTTTAGGGTTTAGGGTTTAGGGTTTAGGGTTTTAGGGTTTATATAGCCACCTTCAATATTTTACTTTCATTATATGTTTTATTACAGCTATGTCTTGCAGCTTGCTGCAGTACGTACAGCCAACGAACTTAATTAGTAATTGAAAATTCATCGATAAAAGATGTTTATTGCATTATAAATCAAAAATAAAACAAAAATAATATATTTTAATTTATTTTTTATCTTTATTTTTACCTAGACACCTGAGGCATATGTATGGAGGGGGCTTGCTGCTGCTCTGTATGCTGCTGCTGTTTGCTGCCTTGCTTGTATATAATGTTGTTTTATTTCTCTTTATGTTTTCAGTGTTTGATATTAATTCATTTAACTGCTCTTTATTAATTCTAAAGGCGAAAAGTTAAGAAAGAACCACCCTAGCTTTGCTGCTGCTGCTGCTGCTGCTGCTGCTCTTCAGCAGCAGCAGCAGCAGCAGCAGCAGCAGGGCCCCAGCTGGCGGTCTGTCTGTCTGTACTGTTTCTCTGGCGTTGTGTTTGAGGGTTTCTTTTTGATTAAATAAATAAATGGGTAAGAAAGAATTAAATTTGTCTCTCTGAATAACTTATTTATATTGGTTTTGATGCGTTGAGGTCTGTCGCTTCTTTTGTTTGTTTGTTTTACTTCTTTTAGCTGCAGCTGCAGCGCCTACGTTAATATTCCTATTTATTTATTTAATTCACACTTGTCTTTTCCTTTTTATCTCATTTTCAAACAATTTATTCTTCTTCTTCATCTTATTTAGCTGTACATACACCCCAAGCTGCAAGCAATGAGGGGCCCCGCTACCGCCGGGGTAGGCGTAGTTTTTCTGCTATGCAGCTTCTCGCTCTTCTTTCCTTTCTCTGCTTCAGCAGCAGTAACCAATAAGAAAGGTAATGCATTAACAAGTACACAGTAGCAGCAGCAACAGCAGCAGCAGCGGCAGTAGCAGCAGCAGACACGCCAGCAGCAACTACGGAGCAGCAGCAGCAGAAGCACCGAAGCAGCAGCAGCAGCAGCAACAGCTGCAGCAGCAGCAGCAACAGAAACACCGAAAGCAGCAGTAGCAGCAGAAACAGCAGCAGAAACAGCAGCACAAACAGCAGCAGCTGCTGCTGCAGCAGCGACAGAAAAACAGCAGCAGAAACCGCAGCAGCAGCAGCAGCAGCAACAGCTAGTACTCCCATTAGTATTATGGGTTTTATTAATTGTTGTTATTATTTTTATTTTTGTTATTATTAATGCTATTAGCATTATTATTATTATTATTACTACCACTAATTATTTGTTATGATTATTGCTGTTGGTTTTAACAGCATTATTATTATTATTGTTGTTGTTATTATTGCTGTTATTATTAACTATTATTATTATTATTACTGTTAATTATTATTAATATTATTATTTATTATTTATTATTATTGTTGTTATTACTAATGACTAATTATTATTGTTATTGGTGTTATATAGATATATATATATATATATATATATATATACGT